TCTAAATTACATATGTTTACCTCTAATTAGATTAACTCATATTGTATCCAAAACAGCAATAAACTTTTTACAGTTTTATATAATAGAACAATAATACCATAAAAACTGTCTAGTACAACAATACTATATAAACTGTCTGGAGAATAATCATATGGCAATAATTACTTCAAAGCAACTATAATGTAAGACATACAATTCCTGAAACTTTAAAAAATACCATCAAGGAATAATTCAAATCTAAGTTCATTCAAAGAAGGCATGAAGAACTTATGAAACATGAAGTTTCTGATATATGTTTCATAGGGAATGAAGTTTTAGAACCTATGATTGAAGGAACTTGAAGATAAATTTTACAGAAAATGAAGATTTACATCCTATGACTTGAAGAAAGAGACAGTTATTTCCAGAATCTTTAAAACCATTTCATTAAGTCTTTATCAGTCTGTAACTTTATCCCTCTCTCACATTACTCTTATGTTTAATCTTGTAGTGCTTCAACATATCTGCAAGTTCTTGTGTATATTTCTTCTCTTCATGATAGGAATGTGTCTTCCAAAATGAGTGTGAGTCATTTGACATCTCTTCAGTGATGAGAGCCAGTGTGGCATAATGGTTTGACTGTTGGACTACAACTCTGGAGACCAGGGTTCAATTCCCACTTGGCCATGAAACCCACTGGGTGACCTTGGGCAAGTCACATGCTCTCAGCCTCTAAAGATGGCAATAAATTCTGCCAAGAAAACCCTGTGAAAACTGCTTTAGGGTGGCTGTAAGTCAGAAATGACTTGAAGGCACACAATAACAACAACATCAACAACAAAAGAGTTAGCAACACAGGGGAGGCTGTGAAGTACATCCAGTTCTGTCCCTCAGCATCTTCCCATGGATCTGTACTTCTTCCCAGCATCTGCCACCTGAGTTGATTGCTCCACTCTGTCCAATGCTAAGACTGCCCCAATGTAGGGAAGCATCTAACTGACCATGCAGTCAAGGGCAGCCTTGCTGCTCCGTTTCTAGCAAAATGAAACCTGCGTGCAGCAATGCTGGGTTTAACTGTGTCATATCTTGCTGCAGACACCGTCACCTTGCCATGAGGCTGCAGTCACCCATCAGCTGCCAGTTTTAAACAAAAAGGATCAGACTTGCAGAGAGCACCAGCAATAACGCAGAGGTCAAGGGAGGAAGAACACTAGCAGAATGTATTTATTTATTTAAGGTGTTTTTGTACCCTTTTTTTCAACCAGAAAAGATTCCGAGAGCTGCATACAAAAATAGACAATTATACAGTCCCTGCTGTCAGGATTCTACTCTCAAAAGGCGCAGAACACAAGGAAAGGAACTGGAAGGAAGTGGGGGATGATGTCAGTCGTTGATTCAATTGCTCACATGTATAGAAATGTACAGTACTCTGTTCTGGATCTGGTTCTGCTCTGGTTTGACACGCATAGTGGTTTGAGTGTTGGGCTACAATTCTGGAGATCAGGGTTCGATTCCCAGCTTGGCCATGGAAATCCACTAGAAAACTTTGCTCTCAGCTCAGGCGAAGGCAATGGCAAACCTCTGAACAAATCTTGCCATGAAAAAACCATGATAGCTTTGCCTTAGGGTCGTCATAAGTTGACTTGAAAGTACATGACAACAACATACCCCCTAACTGCCCCAATTTGGCAAGGAGAGTCCCAATTTATCTCCTGTCATTCTATTCTTTTCAGCTGCTTTTAAAATGTCCCAGTTTTTCTTCCATCCTCCCACTTTTGCTCTTCATCTTCTGCTTACTTCAGTTCCTGCAAACCAAGTTCAAAGTGCAACTCAGCATCAGAAAGAGGAGAGGTGGGGACAGAATCTTGTCCTTCCCAGTAGTCTCAGGCAACAGCAAACTGCTGCAGCCTCTCTCTTCTTCCTCATTAATATCTCTTCTTTCTCATCAATATCATTTTGCTATCTTGACCACACTCTGATATTGCTGCCCAACATCTGTATAGTGTTGGAGGGTATGGCCTTCTGGGCCAGCCTGTTTACTGGTGGGTTCCCCCCCCCCCCCCCCGTTGTCTTTTTCCACTTCTTTTCTGTTGATTCTATCTCCTCTTTGCTTTCTGTTTATCAATTCAACTTTACTCTGCATTGATGGCACCTCAGCAGCCTTTCTGGTGTCATTTGGGAGAGAAAGAGAAGAGACACCAAGTTTGGTGCATTTCTTCATTCATGCAGCCCCTTGAGGAAGATGGACAGAGGCTGAGAAAATCAGCAGGCGAGGTCTCCAAATTGAAATATCTCAGCCATGAACTCCATGAGAGAATCCATGTAAGCCATCTCTCTGCACACACAGAGAGCTTCCAATGGAGACAACTTGCAAGAATATTTATAGGAATTACATGCAAAATAGCTGGATTCATAGACCCATTCAATCGACTGTTGTATGGTGGTGTAACAGTCATCACTTGGGAGGGAGCATATGGAAGGCGAGGAGAAGGTGCTTTGCACATGCTTAGTTGCACCCTCTTCTCTCTCTCTCTCTCTCTCTCTCT